TTTTCTTCCTCGACTTGTGTCGGCTTTGATAAATATCCCGTCCCGTTTCTCACAGGAAAAAAGATATCTATACCCCAAAATTTTAATGATATTTTATGTGAAAAAATAAATAAATAGAAAATGACTAAATGATGTAGAGAACTAAATATTATAATAATATAATATGAATATTTATATATTATAATATAATTTTATAATATAATATTCATCGCAAAAAAAAAAAAAGCTGTCATATTTGCTGTTGTGCCATAAACGAAATCTTATTCATACTCGCCGACCGACCGAAACATTTTTAATCAATTAGTATTTTCGATAAATCCGCTCTTCTTTTTCGAAATGAAAATAAAAAAATCGATACCTAAACACACCTCACTGTCACTGTCAAACCTAAATACACCTGTCCACCTTCCTGGGTTTTGCAGTTGCTTGCCTACCTCATTACTTAAGAAAACAAAGGTGTGCCATTAAATCACTTTCAGATCACTTCCGGAGTCACATTCTTTTATAGATACTAGAGGTCCCGCAGTAATCGAAATTCGACTATAATTAATTGGAATTGTATGTTTGTACACTATATGATTGTATTTTATACTTCTATAATCACGAATTTGGCCAAGACTACACTATAAAAAAATATGAATAAAGACAAACAATATTTAATCTATTCTCAATTTGACAACAGACGTCAAGAACAAAAGTTTGACAATAAATAGTATGCATGCGTGTGTGCGTCAAATACAGGGTATGTAGTGTGTGTAATGTTTTCTTTATTGATTTAATGTATATTTTATGCATTATTTTAAAAAAATATTAACATTGTACACTTCTTCTCTATATTCTCTATAAGTGTAGAAAATTTCATACTCCTCCGTCCGCACAATTTTCGTAAAAAGGGATACAAAGTTTTTGCTTCACGTATTAATATATAGATTTAATATTCCAAGTTTTATTTTCTAATTCTTGTCTTTTTTGTTTTTCTAGTATCCGTAACAACATAGAAAGTGGGCATCGTTTTGCTTCCTTCAGTAGACCTAGCCCGCGCCTTGCAAGTAGCCAAAACGTGACCAAAGTGCCCATACACATAGCCGAAGATTGCACGATAAATTGAAATGTAACCGAACGTGTGCTATGTTTCAAAACCGCCGTGAATTATTAGTTTATTTGTATGTTTGATTGTGCTCAATGGAGACATAGGTCGTCGGTTCATCATACCCAGATAACTTTTAATGACTTATTCATGATTTTACCTTGCTTTGTACAGGTGCGGACTTGGAAAGTTTACTGCTTTTTTTTTCAATTCACGTCACTAGGCATTAGACCGCATACACGGTAATTACAACTTAAATTTAGTGGAAGCAGCACTTAAGGTACCAAAATAAGATAAAAATCACTACTAATATAGACAAATGATTCGAAATTTGTACCGGTAACATAGGAAGACGTGTCTGCTGATTGAATGCCGAACACGATATTTTCAAGTAAGATCCTTGGTATTTAGAATACAGCAAATAATATAATTCGATGTTTATCAGCTTTTTCTTCGAATAGGAGCTGACTAAATGAGAGGGGCAAAAATGACCCTTATGAGAGCGTGCTAGTTCACCTCTGCAGCATACATTCGTGAACGCTACAGAACATCTGGGAAGCCTTCCTATAAAACATAAGGTCAAACAATATTATTTATGACTTAACGTATTATTATGTGTTCGCGTATTATAATACCGTGATACGGTTCGTATTAAAATTATTAAAATTTATATTGATTTTGGTCATGTCCAATCAATATTGATGGCTTTTGAGTTTTATTCAAATGATTTCAAGCATCCCAAGGTTTTATGTATTAAAATGAATAATGTTACAATGAGTAGTAGGTCATTAATGTAATTTTTCTTGGTGGTAAATTTGCGTAAATTAAACTGCTGCTTCAACGAGCGAAGTCATCTTGCACATTAAGTATATTTTTTTATCTAAAAATTTGAATACAAATTTTAACACTAACTAAATTTGTAGTCACATTTTTTTGGGCTATGCATATAGTAGAACTGATGATCTTAACTAGTGCTCAAACCTAGACAATCAAATAATTTAAATTTCAATCATTATTATAAATTAACATTTCTCATACATACAAAATTTGAATTAAATACAACACGTAAATCCATGCATCTTTAACTATGAGATATTTATTCTTGGTGCACGCAATATGGTGCAAAGTTTTCTTAAATGAATTACTTTATTTAAGTGTCATGTATCTGTCCTGTTTTTTCTTAGGAACTTCTCGATCAGCGTGCTCTTCGAAACTTACGCAGATGGTCTCACTCCGAACTCATACCCTCGGGATAAACCACTAGGTTAAAACTAGCTTGGTAGGTGAGAGCGGCACTTGAAGACGGATACAGAACACGAGCTCTCCTTAAGTGTTCCTTATCGGTCTCCAGACGGCCGGGTGAACAGAGAAAAGCTCTAACTCTCGCCCCTCACTGTGATTTTCTGCAAGATAGCGCTCTTGCAAAAGTTGAGTATCACGACTCATCCTAGTCCTGACGCTAGCACAGTCGCTTGTTCCCAATTTGGTGGCAAAGACACGCCCCTGTCCCTCTCCTGGGAGCTAGACTCTGAGCCTGTGGCCAAGTGGAGTGAGACAATTTATCCAGCATAAGCTAGCAAAGTACCTATGCACGTGCTCCTATCCAATTTAATTTTTTTTTCTACCAATTGCATTTTGGCAAATGGTCATTAAAGCTCACGGTTGATAATCTATTTGCGACGTATTGATAATGAGAGTGAAGAAGTACTTTCTTTAGTCGCTTGCTTCTTCTTCTTCTTTTTCTCCACCTTATCCCGCTAGGTGGGGTCGGCACAGCTAATTTTTCTCTTCCATTCCCTTCTATCAGCCGTCATCTCAACACTCACTCCTTTCTCTCTCTCATATCGTCATTCACACACTCCATCCATATCTTCTTCGGTCCTTCCCCCTCTACCTTGCACTACTATTTCCATACATATGTCGTAAAATTTCGTTCAGTTTATCCAAAAGTTGTTCTACTGGAGTCTTTTGTTAGTTGTCTTGGTGAAACTTAATGAATTTGACAAAGATGACGTTACTCTGTACTTTATTACCGTTTTTTAAATAAATAAATAAATATTCGTTTTCGAATTTTAAGCGAAGTGTGCATACATATGTTGGGCCAAATTGAACAGAATTTTATTACAACTCTGATTGTTAACACACAGTTTATCTTTTACAAACAGAAACCTTTTAACACGATCGAAACACAGATGTTAATTCAATTTGACACCAGTTTCAGATGACTTAATATAAGTGTGACCTCATTGGAGTTTACTCCTTTAGAATCGATTTACATATATAGGCCCGGGGTATGAAAATTATGGGGACCAAAATCGTACTAGCATGTCACACGAAATGCGTTATGCGCATTTCGTGTGACATGCTAGTACATGCGCCGGCAGTCCGCCACAAAGCCTCGTACTGATCGCGCGTTTCTCTCATTATTGTATTTTCATATATTTGTTAGTCGTTTGTTTTGTGTCTCGTTAATTTGTTAATAATCTGTAGTGTATCGTGTTGTCGTAATATAGAACTATTTCTCGTATTGTTTCGTTTAATTTTTTATATCCAGTAAACTCCAGTCGTGCGTCGGAGCGGACACACACACTTTTT